AAAAAGATTTAACGATAAATGACGAGAAAGAAAAAAAGATGAAAATAAACGAAAGAAAGAAAAGAGAAAACAAGATAATTCGAAAGAAAAGAAGGAAAAAGATCGAATGGAAAAATCTGATGAGTGAAAATATGAAAAAAAAAGAAAGATAGAAAGAAAGAACTAAAATAAATAAATAAAGAATGAAAGAAAGAAACAAAGAAAGAAAAATAAAGATGAAAAAAGGAAAGAAGAATAGGAAACAAGGTAACTCGAAAGAAAGAATGTAAAAAAGAATGTTAAAGAAAAAGATGAGAAAATAACGAAAGAAAAGTAAGAGAATAAAAGATAACTTGAAAGAAAGAAAGAAAAAGATTAAATTAAAGATCTGAGAGGTGAAAGAATTAAAGAAAGAATGAAGCAAATTAAAGAAAAGGAAAGAAAGAAAAAATTGAAAGAAAACGAATGAAAAAAAACAAAGGAAAGAAAGAAAAAGAAAAAATGAACGAAAAAAGACAGGCAAGGAAAGAAAGAAAAGCTGATGGAAAAGAAAAAGAAATATAAGAATAAGAAACTAAAGACAAAAAAAACGAGGTGTGTAAACGGGTTGAGAAATAATGAAGAAGATAGGAATGAAAGTAAGGGAAAATATAAACAGTGGAATCAAGGGAAAAGAAAGAAAGGGGATTAATTAAAGAAAATAATGAATGAGGGAAATTAGAAGTACGAATGAGTCAAGAATGAAGTAAAAGCTAAAGGAATGAGTGCTAGAAAAAGGAAAAAGAATTGAAAGATTTTAAAAAATTCAAAATTGGAAAGAGAAAGTGAAAGTAAATAAAAATAAATGGTTAATTTTTAACTGAATTATGAACAGATAATTAAAATAAAAAAGTTTAAAAAGTTTCGAGAGTACAGAAACAGAGATAGATTAATGAAAGAAAATGCAAAAAAAAGGATAAAGGATAAAATGTTTATAAAATCAGTAAAGAAGAGAAAAGAGCGAAAAAGAAGCGAAGAGAAAATAACGGTAAATGAATAAAAAAAAAAGAAGATTTTTAGCGATCACGAAAAAAGAAAAAAAAGTAGAAAGAAAAAGAGGACAAACGAAAATACAAATAACATAATAAAAGAACATATAAGGAAAAAAGGGCCTAAAAATAAACTAATTCTAAACTTCGCAATAAATGAATAAATAAATAAATAAATAAATTAAACAGGAAGAATAAAACAAAAAGGGGGTAAAAAAAAAAAAAAAAAAAAAATCCGGTCCGTTAGCATATGGATAAACTTGTTATTATTGTTTATTTTTTATTTTTATTTTTTTATTTTTTTTGCAGGCGTGGGAGAAATGGCGGGAAAGTAGCGTATTTGCTTCGGAGACATTTATCATGAGGAAACAAACAATAGTTAGCGTGTCACACGGTGAGGCGGGCCCGGTCGCTCGCTGTGCGGTTTAGTGATAGGTGCTTAAATGTTATAATCATTCTCAAACACCTGTACACACACACACACACACACACACACATTCACGCACAAAAATATTTTAGGTTGTTATGTACTTAGTTTGGCATAAGGACACAAATACAGGGCACCCAGTGAGAATCAAACTCATTTGCTAGACAAGCTCATAAAACATTACCTTATCTCTACTGCGTAATATACACACAACTCTGACCGTGGTTTCTGCTATCTTCTTTAAACTGGATCCCCCAAAAAGGGTTACTGATGATGGCATCCCTTCTATAGTCCTTAAGGAATGTATCCCCGAACTGTCTCCTGTCCTCTCTAAACTCTGCAATAAATACCTTGCCGCTTCTTGTTTTCTTGCTTGTTTGGAATCCTCTTCTGTAGTTCCAGTCTTTAAGAACTCAAGCAAACCATCTGTTCCTTCTATCAATCGGCCGTTTACCTCTTTTTGGTAAAGTACTAGATACTCTAATCAAGTCCGAATTAGTTAAGTATATCACCAGGGTGGAACTGTTAATATCATGGACTAAGCATATAAGCAAAGGGAACACAGAAACAAAAGGACACTTGTACTTAGAAAAAGCCAGTTGGAATTTTTGGAATATATAATGAGAAAAGAGAGTTCGGAGAATTTGACACTTACAGGACATTATGAAAGCAAGAATGCCAGAGTGTAAATTGGATGGCAAAATGAACAGGGTAGGATGTTGTGGAGAGTCATGATCGATTACGTCCTGAAGGGTCACGGCACATAAAAAAGAAGACAATTGCTGTTGGATTTCACTTTAAGATATTCACGTTTAGTTGTTTGACACACTGTCTCAAATTCCGAACATGTAATCGAGAAAATAGTTTTATTCGCTTAATAAATTCAATTCACGAACCAATGCTTTAACCGTCCTGGGTAAGACGATAAACTACATCCGACAGCAAGGTCTCTGATTAATAGGTTTTGAGGAGCGTGGAACCATCTCTTAATTGCTGGTGTTTCCAGCTGCACCCTTACCTCGGGATGGTAGCACCTGTTACGGTCCCAGGTATGGGCAAATAGTTAACCCTTAAACTGAGGTCAAAAATAGGTTTTTGAAAAAATATTATCAGCAATAGATTTTTGAAGAAAAAATATTACCAGCAATATATTTTTAAAGAAAAAAAATATTACCAGGAATAGAGTTTTGAAGAAAAAAATATTACCAGCAATATATTTTTGGAAAAAAAAGACATTACCAGCAATAAAAAATTTTGTCGGCATTAAATAACCCATTGAGGTTTTGATATGTCGTAAAACAAACGCAGCCAAACCAAACCAACGCTTTAATCCACTTATTCTCTTAATATTCCGAACCTTAACAATAGCTGGAACCTCCAACACAAACTACATTCATGGACCATTTCACTATAGCCTAGTGGATTTAAGCGTCTGTTCGTGAATTTGCTAACATAACTTCTTTTAGCTACAGTATTAGATTTTTGACTCTGAAAATACTGACTGCGGGAGCAATCACTTCCTAGTCATAAGCAAACTAAAGGTAAACCTGATAAAATTAACGAAACCCAAAGGCAGTGCATAACTGCAAGACAACAAACTCTGCAGTAACTGCATTTGCATAAAAAAAAAAACGTATGCAGTCACAGTTAAGAAAAAATATGAAAGTTTGGAACAGGTCAGGAACTCAAGTGGAACACCTAAACATAATGAAGTTATCCCGAGAAAAAAAGAAATGGATGACAATTGAAATTCTCAATCTAATGGTCTAATGATAGTGAAACTGAAAGTTAATCTCAGAAATGGTATCGAATATATAATGTTGAACAAAGAAACAATAAATAAGCGCAAATAAAAGACAATTGACTCAATGAAAAATGCACAGATGTTAAAAAACTGATGAACACAGATGAAGCGGGCATAAATAAAAAGATAAAAGTGTTAGCAGGACGGAAAACATGTTCGTGCATAAAATACTGTGACGGAACAATTGGAAAAAGAAAAAGTATTGATGAGATTTGTCTATGAAAAAAGAGAGGTGAAACCTACAATACATAAAAGCATTGAATACTAATATCCGACGTTAGGTCTACATTAGCCAAGTTAAAGAGGAACAAAGCAACAGAATTGGACGAGTAAGTAATAATGACAGACTCGGGTGATTTAGGGTCCGACAGGTTTATCTAAGACATAAAAATATATATAACAACGGCGAAATACTGGAAGACGTCAGAAAATCAATGTCTTTTCTGTTAATTGCTGTGCTAACCGTTGAATTTAAGCCGGACAAAATATTTTGAAGCAGAATATATTTAATCAGCGAGGCTTTTTCAAAAATTTAGTTAGCTTGTACCACTTTGTATTTGTTATTCATTATACCCACTAGTCGTTGTGATATTGTACGATTGTATTATTACAGAATATATATTGTCTAATAATACAACAATTCTTATCTGGGTTCTGTCGAGTCAAGCATTGCGAAACTCTGAGTTGATCTATATGTATGTTTTTGTACAATAATTATTGCTCTAGATAACTATTGAGTAACATTTGTGTAAAAAGTTCTATTTGCCTTGACATGTTATATACTTTTACATGTATCAATACGCATTATTATAATAAAATTTTATACAAAATAATATTAATGATAAATAATAAAAGATTTATTGTTTTAAAATATTAGCATATTCCATAAACTGTCAGCTGTATACAACAGTTTCCCAAGATCAAGGGGTAAAAAGGCTTTGCATGATCAAATCATGGGGATCTTGGTAAAGATAATCCTTCTTTGAACATTGAGGATTGGCGCTACAGAATCACAAAGAACTGTTCCAAACAGCAGAAACCACATCACTTGAGGACTCCCAACAACGGCAACAACTAAAATGGATAGCACATGTAACTCGAAGTGAAAATAAAGACATAATCAAGATATTTTCACACCAACTTCAAATAAACGGTTCAGAAAGAAAACCCCTATTATTATTGGAAAGAGCTATAACAATTACTGGACTTGAGAAACTTGTTTTTCCTAAAAAAAGGTGTTTTAAAGGGAAAGTTTTTATAAATTACAACCGAAAAAACAGCACTGGCTGCTCGTTCAGTGAATGTCGAATCTTTCTTTGTAGCAATATTACCATTACGATTAAAGATGCGAACAGATACAACACTTTGATCCTAGCATGATGACCAAGGTGTAAAGAAAATTTCCACTCAAGGAACACTTACTGCTCGGTCAATGAATGCCGAATGTTCATTATTACCATTACTATTAGTCATGAGAACAGACACTGCACTTTAATCTTAGCCTGATAGCCAAGAAATGAAGAACAAAATCACACAAGGACTGAGTGCCAAATGTTTCCTTGTAGGGAAACGGCTAATATTACCATTACCGTTATCATATGTTTTGTAAGATGAATAAAATTTAGTACATGCTGACAGCAGTTTGCCAAAACTGGTATCAATTATGAAATCATCCAAACAAATAGATACTAATTAGAAGGATAATTTTCAGACGGACCTTGTCTGACGGTTGTTAATATTGTACAAGCTGTCCAGAACAACCATGGACGGCCCAGGATTGGCGAAGAGGAAACTTTTAGGATGTCCAAATATTTTCTCTGTGTATAGCGACAATTTTTCTTCTTCCTTCCAGATTCGGTAAATCAAATTTTGATGGACGGTCATCTTCTAAAAATGCAGATCTCCGATATCGGGACGCACTGTGTGAGTATACACACACACACACACACACACACACACACACACACACACACACACACACACACACACACACACACACACGTATGATTAAATATGATTATGTTTCTACGTGAATTTAACTATGTATGGATGCATTAATTTGTGTATTCGTTCGCATGTGCATCTGAATAGATGTGTATGTGTGTTTGCATATGTGTATGTACATACATTTATATATGTATGTATGAATGTGTCATGTGAACCTGTCTCTTTGCAACTCTGGGCTTATGCAGACCAAAAGGACATGACCAATGAAGAAAATAGCCCCAGGCTTCAATACACACACACACACACACACACACACACACACACACACACACACACACACACACACACACACACACAGATATATATATATATACATATATTATACAAGCACGCATATATTACTACATGCATAAAAAGACAGGCGCATGCGCACTTATAAACCCCACACATATATACATAGATGCACACATACACATACGTGCATGTACTCTTATATGTTCACATAAACTTACATACAGAGATGCATGTATAAGCATACATATGCAAGCACATACATCGACCTATTCATGCACATTCGCACTCTCATAGAATAGCAGATTCTATTACACTATTACGTACGCATGGAGTGACAACACACAAAATGTCACTAACTACACACATACACACGCATATACATGCAGGTACGCATACACTTTCATACATACGCGCACAGCACACTCTCCCTAAATAAATACGCATGCATAGAGGAATCACACATAAAAATCATATTTTGACACAATTAAACATATAATTACAAACATAATTACACATAGTGTGGAGGAAAGATCTATCTATCTAAATATGTTCGTATCTATCTATCTATCTATCTATCTATCTATCTATCTATCTATCTATCTATCTATCTATCTATCTAAATATATTCGTATCTATCTATCTATCTATCTATCTATCTATCTATCTATCTATGTTTCGTATCTCTCTAAATATTTTCGTGTCTTTCGACTTATCTATCTATCTGAATATGTTCGTATCTATCTATCTATCTATCTATCTATCTATCTCAATATATTCGTATCTATCTATTTATCTATCTATATATCTATCTATCTGAATATGTTCGTATCTATCTATCTATCTATCTATCTATCTATCTATCTATCTATCTATATTCGTATCTATCTATTTATCTATCTATATATCTATCTATCTCAATATGTTCGTATCTATCTATCTATCTATCTATCTATCTATCTATCTATCTATCTATCTATGTGTTTCGTAATTAACGACGCGCGTTATGTGAACTTAATCTCCATGGGCGCTCCAGTAATGTGGCCATTTGTCAGACGAGATTTTAATTTGCATACAAAAAATTTCATACATTTTCTTCAAACTTTTGTACGCATACAAAATTCCTAACCCATACACAAACGCAGGTACAAAAACGTACACGTTTACCTACATAATGGCGCTACAGAATCACAAAGACCTGTACCAAATAACAGAAACCACACCATTTGATAACTTTTAACAATGGCAACAGGTAAAATGGATAAAACATGTAACTCGAAGAGAAAATGATGACATAATCAAGATATTGTCGTTTCCCATTGCTTCAAATAAAAGGTTAGGAAGGAAACCTCCATCTATACGGAAAAAGTGCGATAACAGTTAATGGACTTGAAAAACCTATTTTCCTGAAAAATAGTTTTAAGAAAAATATCTTATTATTTTCATCCGAAAGCAACACTGTCTCTTCGGTCAATGAATGCCGAATATTTCCTTATAAGGAAACAACCAATATTACCATTATCATGAGAGGTAAGAAAAACAGACACTACACTTTGATCCAGTCCATTCACCAGACAGAAACACAATTGAGAGACAAAATACAGCTTATCCGCCCGAAGGCAGATACTACACTTCGATCCAGAATTATCATTTATTTGCCACCCCACGCTGACAGGATGTGTCACGAGGTCAGTTTAATGTGGGGAGCACAAGCACGTGCATCTGGACCAGTTTAGAAAATAACCCAACTCTTGGAACCGTTTATTGCACTGATGTCGTTATTACTAGCAATCCCCTGTCCTCTTTAGTGCAATGAGGGAGGTACTGATGCGGGCAGCTGTTCCCCGAGTTCGGGCACTTCTGTATAATATTTTTAGTTGCGCTTTTCCCGCAGACAAAGACACAATTGGGAAGAAAAATGAAGTTTATCCGTCTGAAGACAGATACTACACTTTGATCTCAGTCCGATGTCTGCTAGGTCAATGTATGTCGAATGCTTCCTTATAAGGAAACAGCTAATATTACAACTACCGTTACAATTCCTCACTTTCAAGATTACCTGACTCGAAAGATGCCTTGTAGAATTGCAGTTTGTGGAAAGATCACTCTTCGAACAGTTGGAATCTGATAATCTATAGTTCCATTTTCTCCTTGAAACTCTAAATTTTCCTCCGCTTCCGGGGGTGAGGAACATCCCCCGCAACCCAAGTTGAAAACCAATTCACTAAAAGATTATGAAATTAGTGATAGGGATAAATTCCCTTGGCTTCCCATTAGAATTAATTTATTCCGCACCGTCTATCCGCGCCAGAAACGGTGCCCTCCCACGTTTTATAACTGTCTCCGCGGGAATAGACACCCCCCAACCTCTTCCCTTAAACTGACCTACCCTTTCACCCAACACACTCTGTGCTGCCCTCTCTGTATTCCGAACAATAACGTGAACCTCCAACATAAACGCCGAGGGCGACTTTCACTGACCATTTGACCATTCGAAGACTTAGCGGGCCCAACTGACCGTGTAAATATTTGCATCTTTTTTCGCAAGATTTCTGCCCTGGCTTCCAAAATTAATAATAATTATTGTGGAAAATCTCTTTAGAAAAAAAAAATATTGCCAGAGGATAAGGGAGACAATTTACAGAAGCATGCTGGTTAGTTATATTTATAGTGTACGTTTATTAAGTGAATAGAAGAGTTCCTTGGAGATACGGCGGGTAAATTTAATTGGCCATACAATAATGATGCGCACAAGCATCTCTTTTGTTTGTTTGTTTTCGTCACTCCTGGCATTGAAATCACGTGATAAAATGACAATAAGAACGAACCAGAGAATAGTAAACGGAAAGTTTTCGAATTACAAACATCCAGATTAATTATTCTCCCTTAAAAATATAAGGTTGTCATAGCCGGATATGATAGTGGATACAAGCTCCTACCCTCTATAAAATGCTTCCGTGTCATGCGTCTCAAATAGCCTCTGAGAACTGAGTTCAGCTTCAAGCCGGAGAAAGGGCAAAGGTGGAAAACTGACGCCTCATAATCAGCTGCTTCGGATAGATGGAGCTCAACAGCCCAGGAAGGAAATCCATCTAGGGGAAGTAAAACCCTGATTTCAAACCACCGTTGCTTTGCGGTCATATTCTAAACACGGAAAAGGCTATGGAAATAAATCCAGACAGTAAACCTGGAGTGGATCCTCGATGGTGGTTGGTTGTCAACACTGGCATCTTCCCGTTAAGTCCTGCAGCCAAGCTGTCACCAAATGTTATGCCCTCTATTCCTTTGGATCTTTTAGGTGCGGCCGATATGAGATCCATGTAGTCTGGACATGGCACGACCTCCTTATACTACTCACCAGTCTAGGAGAAGGAAAACATTGAATTCAAACCACCTCCTGCCATGTAGGCCTTGATGCAGTAGCCCGAACATGGATGGTGCAAAAGGAATCGGCAAGCCATTGAATGTCACCATAAGCCACAATTGTGAGATGGAGGGGAGTGGTGTCTACAGCGGTGCAAAATTCGCTAACTGAATAAATGAATGAATGAAGAAACACAAGCGAATTTGGAAACTTTTGCGATGTCAACGAACACTCGTTTAACCCTTTTGTGACAACAACGAATACTTGTTGTCACTTTCGTAATGCTCGTTGTAGTAGAGACTTTGTAATCGCAGATTCAACTATAGTAACGCAGTTGAACAATACTGGTGTCAGACGCCTTCGAATAACAATCACATTAATAGTATTTTGTATAGTGAATAGAGTAGAGAAGAGATGGTATTTATCAATTCACCCACAGGAATTGAATGTGGCACAAGGCCTTTTTAATGTGGGTATGTCTGAGCCCGTAGGCCCAGCCAAAAATAAAACCCATCTAAACCCGTCCAAGCGGGCTAGTTCCGTCAACCTCCCCGAACGAAACCCCACCCTTCGGCGGAGCTTCGTCCAGGTTCCTCTCTGCAAGCAGAGAGTTCGACAGACACCCGACCCGGCAGCTCACAAAGCGCAGATACTACACTTTGATTCTAGCCACCGGGCCGAGCGAGTATTCTTTTTATGGATAGAGTAGAGAAGAGATGGAAACCTCGTCGCCATATTTGTGATGTCAACGAATACTCGTGGTCACTTTCGTAATGCTCGTTGTAGTAGAGACTTTGTAATTGCAGATACAACTATAGTAACACCGTTGAACAATACTGGTGTCAGACGCCTTCGAATAACACTCGCACTATTAGTACTTGCTCGATAATACTTGCTCGAATAGTAATCCGTATAGTGATCCAAATAGAGAAATAGTATAGAGAAGAGAATAGCGGTCTGTACAGTATAGAGGATAGACTAGAATATAGCAATATTTATTCTGTTATATACAGAAATGTGGCACAAGGCCGAAGGGGGAATGAGGAAAGGACGGTCTTCTTCTGTCATAACGATAACTTAGCTAGCCGCAAACACTGACCCAATGGTACAAACAATATTCCTTACACCAAAACAACACATTCATACGTACCTTTCTTACTACATTCGCCATAATACCTCACTGTCTCTATGAAAATACTAACTAGTCCGAATATTTACAATTCAATGCCTGTGTGGGGAGAGGAATAAAACAACAATTCTAAGAACTAGCCCCAATGAATATTTACAATATGAATACAAAACTATTTACAAGAAACTAGAGAAAATAATATTAGTAATACAACCCCCCACCAATCACTAAATGTGACAGAAATATCAGTTCACTGGCCGAAGTCACTGCGGGACTATAATAGTATAAAACATTCATTCATCCAAAGCACTCACACTGACATGCATTCATTCAGACACAAAACAAATACTAGACTAGAATATAGCGAACTATTAGACACACGCTTCCTACCATATATGTCTTTCCTCTATGGTCACGTGGTCTAATTAATTCAATAATGAGATCGCCTGTGTTTGCTCACTGGCGATCGATGTTCAAATTCAAGTGTCGGCAGAAATACTTTATTAATATATAACACACGCAAATGATGTTCTAAAACTTATTTCTTAAATTATATCATTTATTTATTAGCAAGAGTCATAAATAAATTCCGTTTGTGTTTATCTAATTTATTCTTCAAAAAATATAACGTACAATAACGTTTTATTCAAATTTTATATTCACGATTATTTCCAACGACTTGTTGCCACTTACCAGGCAACTCTTCATATATGTTTTCAGCAAAATTCTGTCGCTTTCGACGCGGAAAGATTCTTTATGTATCCTTGAATATGGTTCTTATTAGGAAAGAAATATACCTTCAAAGCATTTTGCAGCGGTCAAAACAGGAAATAAATGATTGTTGCAAGGTCAGTTGAATATGGTAGATGAGAAGAACAAAACTGCTAACTTTCAACATAAAATATGCTTTTTAAACCAGAATTAATATGATTCTACTAAACATAAAATAGGGGACAGCTATTTTTTATGTTAAGTAATAAATTGATACCAGTCAGAATTTTTCTATACTAATTTTCCCTCAATACAAGGCACAAGAGCCACTCAAGATAGACAGTTATTGTGTGGTGATGTAGTGATTTTCCAAGCGTAGCTTAGATGCAGCACAAGGCTGAAAGTACCCAGTGAGGGTCGACCCTCACCCAGTGAGGGTCGAACTCACTACTCAGTCGTAACTGTTCTTGCGAGACAAGTTTGCTAACCACTACACCACCTCGAGGTGCCCAGATTGTGTGGTGATGTATAAGCGTAAGAAAAAGGCAAGAAGTGCAGTTCATGAGGTTATGCAGGAAAGATATAGGGTAACGTAAAACTTGAAGAGATCAAGATTGCAGTCATCGGGAAAACACCCTGCCAGTTCCTGGGAAGAAGTCATCCGAGTACAATACGAAGAGAATGAGGATGATTCATCTTTTTGCACGTGGCTTGGCGGATCCCAGTTGTGAAGGTCAGGGGTGTTGGAAGCAAGGAATCTAGCTCGCTGGAACACTTGCCATGGAAATAGCGATAGAGTAGCGAGAGTCTCACTACGTTTCGTTTGTGCGAAAGTGATTGTAGGGTGGAAAATAATTCCTCACTCAGAGGTGCTTTTGAACTCTACCAAGACAGGCAAGTGAGAACTGGGCAGGTCCTGCTCAGATATAGCCTCAATACTCCATTTTGAGTCTGGTCTGGCTCTTGTAAAGATAGAGTACAACAGATGGGGGAGTTAGGTACTTACTAGTGCGTTTCAATGAACTGACCATTATTCGAGCATCTTTAGCAACAGATCGTATATATGAGTCATAATTGAGTTCTGGGGTGAGCTCCTGTCCTGACAGCAAGGGGCCTCTTTGAGAAGACTCGTCCACCATGAGAGGCGAAAGTTCAGGGTCCGCTCTGTGGTAATGAAGCATTATTAATATTAATGCAATAATTGGAAGAATATATTTAAAGACTAAGACATAAAAATCTAATTGTTATACCTGACGTACCTATTCTATTATTAATAGACTCTCCCACACATAATAAGTAGTAGTAGTAGTAGCGGTCGACAGTTGATCTCAGTGGTGTTGAGTGAGTCAGTCGATGTCGGATATTGAAGTATCAACCATCACAACTAGATTGCTGCGTCATTATCTCTTATTTCAAGTTCCTAACTTTTTGTACGTCGGAACCTTTTTAGGACCGACTTAGCGAAATAAAAGCCTCCACGGTGAAAACTACTCTACAACACTAATAATATTAAGAATTACAAAATATGCCGCCATTTTCACGGAATGGGTAACATCGCGTCATTACAGCAATCCCAGGGCAGACAAATTTTTGTATTTTGTTACTATAAGTACCTTTTTATTACTATAAGTACCTTTTTATTATTGTAAGTACATTTTCGATAACCCTGAAAAAATGGTGTCGATTTATTTCGTGAAGCATATAACGAATTAAAAAGGTTAAGTATCTGTCTATATTTCTGAAATGAGGTATTATGTACACTATTTACATTATTCGGAATATTGTCCTCATCTTTGTCGATATATATTTTACAACGTTTCGGCCGTTGTACGCTCCGGCCTTCTTCAGGTATTTGGAATGTCGAACTGAACCCTTTATTTCGCTCACTGGGGTAGTTCCACGTGCCATGTTTAATGGATGTCAGTTATCAGTTATCTCCTGTTAATTCCCATCTCCTAGTTCTCCACTGCCTTAACCGGGTATTGAACTCACACTCTTTGGGTCCTGTCACTGGATCTAACTAACACCTTTATCCACTGTGTCATGTGTCCTTGAGGACCTGAAGAAGGCAGGAGCGTAGAACGGCCGAAACGTTGTAATAAATATGGCGACAAAGATGAGGACAATAGTCCGAATAATGTAAATAGTGTACATAATACCTCATCTCAGAAATATAGACAGATACTGAAAGGCCGAAACGTTGTTATAAATATGGCGACAAAGATGAGGACAATAATGTAAATAGTGTAACGTTCATGTTTAAAAATTCAAGGATCGACAAATA